TGTAGCCCATCTGCCTCAAGATTATGCGTGTTGTGGCTTCACAAATCCTTTGCTGCATACCTCGGCTGTAACGAGTGTTTATATCCGTCAAAGTTGCTCTTCTATCAGCCTGAATCAGTTGGCCAATTCTCCTCTGACCTCTAGCATCAACAATGCCGCATACTGGAAGTTTTTCCCTTTTCATACCGTTCTTTGTAAACCCTTGGTTGTGCATGAAAATCCCAGTAACTGAGCAGATTGTGAAATACTAAGACCGGCACGTCTGGCACCAACAACCATGCCATGCTCAAAATTGCTTAAATCACCTTTCTTTCCCATTCTGACATTCAATTTGGAGTTTATTTAGGGGTGTGGACCAGGACCACACCCCTAAATGCATAGAAGCAACTGCCATGTGATTGGTTGAATAGATCATTGCCTTAATGAGAAATTGAACAGGTGTTCATAATCCTTTAGGCGAGTGTATATCGTACATACATTTTCAATGGAGGAACAGAACACTCTATGACTAAATCTAAAATTTCTTAAACAGTGTTCAGAGGATGAACAGAGGTCTTAGGGGCTTGGAACAACATGAAGGTGAGTCATTAATGACAATTTTCATTTTTGGGTGAATTAACCCTTTAAGCCCTAGACAGTGCCTCATACATTACACTGGTTGTTTTAAATGACTAAATTAGAAATATTAAATATTCTGATTTTAAGGGTAAATGCAGGTTGGATACTTTCTGATAACTTGTCATGGGTATCTTTATTTTTATTCAATCCAAATTACCAAATAAATGTCAATCCACACTACTTAAGCATTTTTCAACCTATTGGAGTATTGGATGACAGGTTATCAAGCTTAAGCATCCCACTTTACCTCCTCACAACACTGCAGGACACGCGATGTCCACTAATACGCAATGACAAAACCAAATTCATTACAGCCAAAAACAAAAATGCAATTTATTAATTGTTTGAAAGAAGCTCCATAGTTGAAAACATTTTTTTTTTTTCGGTGCATGTCAACAATCACATTCTATGAGGAGAGAGAAAAAGAGGAAAAGAGAGGGGAAAAAACCCATCAAAAGCCATTGACTTAGTTTAAAATCTCAGTACAGACATATTCCTTAACAAAAGGCTAAAGCAACCCAGTATCTCCACCTACACTCATCCCAGTAACACACTCACTCGCTCAGTCACACAAAGAACACAGACAACCTTGAAAGTCATGGGCTACAAAAAAACCCCACAGTGCTTCAGAATGAGACGTTCATTGGTTTAGAAATACACAGCATGGCGATGTACTGCATGTAAGAAACATAAAAAATGGGAAGTAAGATGGGGTTGGTGGGGGAGGGAGACAAATGAGCACAAAAAGGACACAAAAACAGATTCCCTCTAATCCCAGTGAGAGATGGGTCACAGAGGCTTTAAGAACCCCACCCCCCTTGTGCATAGATCATGATCCGTATAAACCAGCTTTTTTTCCTCTTTAAATTGATCAATAGATACAGAAACCCCCAACCCCTCGTTTTTAGTTCTCATCATGTAATACCCGCCACAGGAGACAGTATGACAAAGAGGAAAGAAATAGTAATGCACAATGGTCCTGATTTCAACAGGAAGGGACCTCATGTTAAGAAAATACAATAAAGAATCACACATACAGCATTTGTATGTTCTTTCACCGTCTTTTGAACAATCAAAATCATTGATCATTTTGTTTAAAATGTAAAGCAATTTCAATATAGAGATTTATATATAAAGCACTCCATTTTTTAAAGTTCATTAAGAGTTCATTATTTGGTAAATATGTAACTGCTACGGATTTAGAAACAAAGGTATTTTCTTCTTCTGAAATCCATAACCTTCAGTGCTTATGTTTTTTTTTTTTTTTTTTCCGTTATCCTCTTTCTCTAAAAACAAACATTAAATGGCGTGGAGTTGTTACTCTGGAACCCTTGCCTTCCTGAGACATGATCCACTTTTTTTGTGTGTGCAAGATAGTGAACAACTATGTCTTCTTTTCTCTTAAAAAAAAAATGATTTTTTTTTTGCTTTCCAAAAAAAAAAAAAAAAATACAGGCTTTGATAATCTATGAAAGTTACATTGACAACATAAATAAAAACAAAAACATGACAACACTGATCAATCCCAGAGTTCTGCAAGTAGCACAATAATCTTCATTCTGTAAAGTGTTTTTTGTTATTCATTTGATGGAAGTATATATCCTTTAGGATTTTCTTTCTTTTCTCTTCTCATGACAATCCCATTGTAACATTCCTTTTCCTTGAACTTCAGAAAAACATGAAATGCTTGTAAACTGTTGGTGGCCTTGCACAAAGAAAACTAGAACAGAAATGAACATTGACAATAAAAAAAGCAAACCAGAAAGGTAGGCACCTCTGAAATGAGTCTTGTAAGAAACTCTTCTCCAGATGTCTATCCAGCTCATCATGGTGTAACATGGGGAGTTACAAGTCCCTCTACATCGATCTATGGCCACAGTTCTTCAAAAAGACCCCGCCCCCCACCCCCACCCCACATTTCATTTTCATATAATTTTTTTTTTGTATTTTGCATTTTTTTTCTGTTTATAATCTGAAAACAAAAATGGTGCAATACTCAAAATAATCCATTTCTGTATCATGGATTATTCCACAATAAAAGCCACTATAAGGTAGATAATCGTATTACAGATAAAAAACACACTTGTTATTTTTCTCAATAAGTCCTTGAGTAAACATTAACACATGAATTGTCACCTTGTCCCCTTAGTACTTTAATATCATGTTGTACGATTAGCTGAATGAGGGGAAGCGGACACTCAGTGCAACTCTAATAACAAAGCTAATAACAAATACAATAACAATACACATTCGAATATATTTTTGACTAGCCAACAAAATAAAGACAAAACAAAAAAAACCTCTAAGATGAAACAAAGGCGCAAACAAATCCACTGTAATCGCTAGCATCCATCGGTTTGAACTCACTCACACAGGCAAACGAACGCATTCATCCGTCATACAGTACACGCAATCTTGTGCAAACACTCACATACAAACGATGTCATTTTGCATTTTTTTTCTTTCTTTTTTTCTTTTTTTTTAACTACATTTTTTTTCGTTCAGTTTGAACGGATGTTATCAAAAAGCTTGGAAGTGTATGAATGACAAAATTATTACAAAAAATTTCACATTACATTATTGGCGCTTCTTTTGATTCAAGTATTTGTGTTTTTGTCATTTGTATAATTTTGATATGTTTATGCCTTTATCATCTAGTTAAATTCATGGAGAGAAGGAAACAGGGGGTTACTCAGGTCTGAGGACAAAAAAAAAGTAAAAGTAAATGAAAAAAAAAAATATATATATATAGAACCAGTTCTATACATATCACAGGATTTCAGATGTACATGTATATCAACCAGCATGTGCATATTCTAGCCAAAGGATTTGATTTTCTTAGAGGTCATCTCCACCCAGGCGATGCCCGTTATTTTGTACGATCGAAGCGGACTTCTTACCTACACAAAGTTGCATCTGAGCATTCTCGTGGAGCTGGGGTAGATCAGTCCTATAGATAAGACCCAGTATGCCCAATTTTTAGCTAGCTAGTCTGCCAGGCAATCCTCTTGATTTTAAGTTTTGGATTTTTTTTTTTTTCAATCTGTGGTCTCGAGTACAGCTTAGAGAAAGGCAGTTAAAAATATATATACATATATCTTCAAAAACAGGCAATAGTGATTGTTGCTAGTGTCACTCGAGTGTGAAGTAAAAAAAAAAAAGAAGAAGAAATAAAGAATTCTTCCAGAAAGGGATTTCCCCCTTTTAAGACTTGGTATTAACTGGCATGTGCCCCAGGCCTCCTGATACAATAGGTCCATGTGGACCTGGACCTTTTTAAAAACAAATTTAAAAACAAATTAGAAAATAATCTGTACCGTTCCCCTAGTATTGGGTCGGGACAGAGTATAATACCATCAATACAGCAAACCCCAGAGTCATCTGTCCGCCACATCAGGGCGTCAAAGGCTTGCAGAGAGAAGCACTTCAGTCAAAGAGAGTACTACAGATTTAAAGTTTCCTTTTTCAACAGTAACATTAATAATAATAATAATAATGAGACAAAAACCTTTTTTTGGTTTAAAAATAAAGATGTACCCAAATGTGAACCATCTACAGTGCACCTAAACATTCTGGATTCCCTGTTTAATTATTCTCAGCAGTCCTCCCAGGCGTAATTTGATACCCGGGACAAGGTGCTACCCGTCTGTCTTGGTGCCAACCTGCATTCTACCTCTCCACCTCCGTGTGCTCTTTACAAAACCAAACATCAAAACACATTTCAAGAAGTATCGAGTCCCACTCTGATAGATTGATGTCTAGGTTAAATCTACGATCGCGAATAGGTACATTAGGATCTAAAATTCAGAGGAACTTTCAGCATCTTTAAAGCCACATCGGATAATGCAAGAACGCACACGACGACTGCACCCCCCTCGGAACGATAAAACAGTTTGGGGTTCTCTGAGGTTGCCCTGAGACTGCATGTACATAGTGTAAGAGATCATTCAGAGAGTAAACAGTGAGGGCCTGGACATTAATTCAAATGAAGCGGGCCGCTTTCTTTCTTTAGGCTACACCATAAGGAAGCTGCCTTCTCACAATGAACTGGTAAGCTGAAGAGTGGGCTTGGAGAGAACTACAGATTGAAGCTGAAGGCCGTGAACTGCACCTCACGGCCGGTCTTTGCATAGAAGTGGAGAGCCGAGTCTCCGTTATCATTTGCTTTTATTACTGTGAGATGAGGCGACCAGGTAAAGTAGCGTACTCTGTCTGCCCTTTGTCGTAAGCACCAGTGTGTGGCCTGGCAGGGCTCTGACGCCGAAGCGGAGGAAAGTGCAGAGGAGAGGCAGAAGACAAACTGAGCACCATCAACCTACTCTTCGTTACGCCGACTACGTGCGCGACTCAATCCATATTCCGCATTTCAAAAGCCATGGCGACGTTAGCGGCCGCCGTTTACGCTGAGGTGTGCCTCTTAATCAGAGTGTTTTTCTGCATATGCGCAGCAAGAGGGGCTGGTGAGAGCAGCTACCATAGAGACCACTGCATTGACACACACATACACACACACACACACAGAGAGAGAGAGACCAAAAAACAAAAAAGCGTAAAATAGCGATATAACATCAACGACAGCAATGACGATAACAACAGCAATGTTGACAAAAAAAAAAAACAACACTGGCAATTCCAGAAGGGAAATACCCAATTGATCATAAAAAGTACATGAAACGAACCTGTCCACTTCCAGCTAAAGTGATCTTTGCATGAGAGGGAGAAAGAGAGTCTACGAGAGTGAAGTTGAGACGAGGTCGAGTGCTGGCGCAGTAGTAGTACGTACTGATTGGCCAGGTCTGAAGGAGCCACTGCTCCGGCCCAGGCAGGTCTGTTCTGGCATCTGGTGCGGGGCGAAAGTCAGAGCGTGGGCACCTGAGGCGCCACAGCAGATAGGCACTCAACGGCCACACTTATCATACAGGTAGGCAGGGCCACCAGGCCAGGGGGCCCCACAGAATCCATTAGAAACATTACAACACGTCTAGCATCTCCAGACAAAAAGGCTAATGATTTTGGAGTACTTTAACAGTGATATTTACTTTGATATATATCATCTGAAAAAACAAAACAAAACAACACGAGAACACTTCAGTCTTGTTGTGGTGTTTTTCCCCCTCATCGGACATCCCTTCGTTTTGCTACCATTTTCGAAATGTCTGATTTCAAAGTCGAAAGGCTGTGGAAAGACGAAGACGAAGAAGAAATGAAACGGCAAAATCCGTTCAGAGTTCAAAAAGGAGCATGGAGGAGAAGTTCGTAGATTGCTTTTCATCGTTGCTTTTTGTCAGTTTCACACGTACACGTGTAATTTGTTGGCATTAAAGTCGGAGCTTGATGCTCTTGCTAAGTGCTATGAAGAAACCACGCCGCCTTTGTTCCATACTTCTGTACCAAATACAACAACAATGAAAAAAAAAAATGCACTTTGTCTACTGGGTTACAAGAAACACCTCTTATTTGGTTTGAAGCCCCTGTTGCCCCTGTAGTCACACTTGTCCTTGAGTGTGTAGAGGAAGTGCTAGTGAATGTTTCATCACCATGGGCTTACACACCGACAGAGTCCTCTTCTGTCCAGTCCCATGCTTGGTGGTGGAGCTGGAGACGAGTCTTTGATCCCTCCCGTCTCCAGATGAGCTCCGACCGTTTCACGGCAAAAAAGCACTGCGTAAAGGACGGAAGAGTCTGTGGCATATATTGCACGTCAGGCGAACGACAATGAGGACTAGTGTTTTTCGAGAGGCCGAGGTCATTTAGGAAAATTAAAGACGAAAAAAAAGCAAGTAGTCCATCTGAAAAAGTGTTTCCTGTACAGTTTTTTTTTTTTTTTTTTTTGTAGATAAGTGGTTAATATATTCCTCAGCTGTCCACATGTCCTCTCAGTTTAAGAATAAATGCCTCAAATGTGCAGAGGGGTCATATACATGTCCGTCCTTTTGAGAGTAATGAGGACTGGATGGCAACCGAGGGAAACGAGGAGGACGAATGGGCGTATGCTGCGGCTGACATACAACCCATGACAGTCCTGGCTCAGAAATGAGAAAATGTGCAATTCTCAAGATGTTTCTTCAGAGTACAAGTGGAGTGGGACTGATCAGCAGTTAAGGCTAAAGTTTAGTGCTGTTAATTAATCCGAACAATCCAAAAGGACAACTGAAAAAAACAAACACACACACACAAAAAAAGCCAGTCCAAAACACAGGGAGTGGGGAGAGTGGGTTTGGAATGATGCATATTTCTTCGGGGAGGGCAATATGCTGTGTTTGAGCTGACAGGATGTGCTCGAGCCAGAGGAATTTTAAACAATCGGCAGCTTGTCTCATCGGTTTGTAGTAAAATACACTTTCACACTGGTATCAGTTAATAGAGAAACGTTTCTGTGAAGGTTCGCTTCTCTTTTAGTCACGGTTCTTCGTAAGAAGTCTATAAAATACTGTAACCCAAGCCTAATGATCAAAATAACACAGGTGAAAAGACGCAAACCAAACCAAAAAAGTAGATGAAGGGTCAGCAGCCTCTATGCAAGTGTGGCCTCAGCCTCCTGTCTCTTGGTTTTTCACAGTTCCACTGACGCTGATTATCGCCAAATGATTTGCTTGGTTTTTGCTCTTGAAGTTTCATATTTCGAGCGCTTGGCGCTCTCACATGGACTCTCCGCTCAGCAGGTCTCCAGGAAGCAGCGTATTGATTGGGGTGGGGCTCCCTACCACTCGACCGTCCTCGCCGCTGGGCGGCCCCCACAGGCTGGAGTACTGCGGTACACCCCCCCACAGCAGCTCGTTGCTTGCCTTACCGCCGGACCCTGTCCCGCCTGCTCCTCCTCCCAGACTGCTGCTGTTCCAGTGGCCGATGGGGTGTGTGGCCGCCGTCCCTCCGCCTCCCAGCCGAGTTTGATTGGTGCCGGGGTTGGCCTGCCAGCTGGTGGTGTGCGTGAGGGACTGACCCTGTGCAAAGAAGCGGTTCACCTCCTCTTCTCCGGCAAACTCTGCCAGTATAGTGGTGTTTCCCAGAACACACCTGAAACGCAAAGTATTTAGAGAAAGAGAACAGATGAACGTGATCATTTAGTTGAGGTTGATTTCTCAAAAAAAAAAAAAGAGAGAAAGAAAGGTGAAAGATTTATGTACATGTGTAGGGACTTCTGGGCCTTGGCAGCCTCCTCTTTAGAACTGTAGCGCACCACGGCATTGCCCTGCGTCAGGTTGAGATGGAATGTGATAAGCGGGCCGTGCTGCATGCACAGTGTCCGCAGTGTTGAGCCATCAATCTACATATCACATAACAGAAAGAGCAGATTTATAACACTGCGGAAAATTCAGCAGGAAATTATAAGTCAATGAACATAACAGTAGCCACAAGAATACCTGTGGTGTGAGGTTTCTCAAAACCAACCAGCTAGTGCTCCTGCTGGAGCTGTCTGTACTCCATGTGGTACCTACTAAGAGAGAAATGAATACCTTCAATCCTGAATATTTAACAATAGTCCATTAATATAACCATTGCAACATATTCTAAGAATTAAAGTAACAATTTAAAGTTTGGGGCAAGCAAGATAAAAAAAAAAGAAAGAAACAAATATTTAGCAAGGATGCATTAAATTGATGAAAAAGTGACAGTAAAGCCATTTATAATGCTACAAAATATTTCTTTCAAATAAATCCATTTAAACTTTATACTTTTTATATAAAATGGTCACCTCAGTAAATATTTGCATTTATTCAAAATTTATTCTGATCAAATATTATTTAAAAATTATTAAAGCGGTTGGTTCCAATCCTTGATTTTGATTGGTCAATAGCTGCGCTTTATTCATGATAAAACAGCTATGACCGATTCACCCAACGGTTCTATTTATCACTGCGCAACACCCTTAGCAACCACACGTATCTAAGGAAACACTGCTGAGCTCCAACTAAAGTCAAGCGGAACGAGTGCCAGCACAGTGGAGCCGACTGAAATGAGACTATATTTAATGCATGCACAATAAATGGAGATGTTCCAATAAATTTAAATAAACAACAATGAAAAAAAAATCTCTTGGTAGACAGCATTCTAGCAACTAAATTAATAACATTAATAAAATAGATCAAATAGGCTACCTATCAAAATATGTGCCCTTGTGTTTTTATTTATGTAAATTAAATGCAGAAAATGCAGAATAAACTAAAAATGAACGTTAATTGTCTCATGCTGAGAGATCAGCTATATTTGTGTGAGGAAAAAAAATGAAAAAGTTTGAAAACAGTTCCTATATTGTTTTTATTTGAGCTTTTATGCTTATTACACATTGGAACGATGTTGTTGCTGTTCACGGTCAGGGACTAATTTTTTTCTAGTGGAAGGAAGGCTTTTAGTGATTTTACTTCATGAAAGTTTCTCTAATACATATTTTTTTTTTGCCTTTAATATTTTATTGTGTGGTAAACGTTTTAAAAGCAATAAGGTACTCGAGGCAAGTGCTGTATGTGTCGTGCCTAACAAAGCCCTTCAGCCATGTCGATAGCTCTTTTTTTCTTTCATTCTTTCTTTCGAACATGTATAGGAACAATTTATTTTTTTAATGAATGACAAACAAAAACCTAATAACAACAAATACTCATCAATACAGAAAGCAAAAAACAATGTTAAATAGGAAATCAATAAGAGAAAACAAAACAATAAAAACAATATTTACTTATAATATTAACTTGGCCGATCACCTCCATATACACCGAGAACACATAACTTCTCGAACCTTATTGCTTAAATATAATAGACATATTATTTCTATTTTATTAATCAATTTTATTGTCATCATCTATTGTACACTAATTTTTAATAACATTGTTAGATGTAATCCTAAGCAAATCTCAAAATTAATATACATTGTTAATGTAGTATATTAATGTAATGCCTTAATCCACTTATAAAATTTAAACTGGTTTTATGGTTTTAAGACAAAAATAGTATTGAGTTTATCATTGGCCATAACCTGAAAACAATGTTTATCGGTATGAACCAAAACATTAATATCAGTTCATCCGTATGTCATGAAGCACAACCCCTGGTCAACCCTTAACTTTCATTGTATGAAAAGACAGTGTGAACATTATGCTGAACATCATAATATGAAAGCCATATGGTTTTAGAATGACTTGAGAATGAGTAATTGATAAATATTTTATTATATTGCCCCTTTTTAATGCTTCGACATCACATTTTTCTACAGCATAAAACGTATTGTAAACAACTGCTTCAGTTATAAGTCAAGGAAGTGTGATCAAGCAACAGTGTGTGAATGTTGACTAACACACAACATATGCGAGACTACAAAAAAAAAAAGTTTGCTCCGCTCACCAGAGCCTGTGCTTGCAAACGCTCCAACTGTTCCAAACCTCATCTCATTCAACCCTCAATGTTTTGACTAGCGTTCACAACCACATAAAACAGTTTACTGACAAAATTCAACTGCTGTTTCAATATGCCCACACCTACGCCTACGAATAGCTGTGCAAACACATATCTGCCTGGGATTAAACTGCACCTTTCACACACACACACACACACACACACACACACACACACACACCTGAGGAGTAGGAGCCGCTCCAGCCAGCCACGAGGCCCAGGGTGTTTCCGCCCCACATGGACGAGGACTTGGCGTTGGTCAGACCCGGAGGTGGCCGTGTGGGAGCCGTTGTGTTCCGGGGTCCTTGTGGGACTTTCCAAAGCTCGTGAGAAAGAGAAGGCTGGGTGTGTGAGATGGGCCCTGGGGACCAAGTGGACTTCATGTCAGACAGCTTGCCTGTAGATCAGAGTTGTGAATGTGTGAAAAGGTCAGAAGAAATAGAGACAGAAACAGAGAGTATGTTGACAGATATCTTTTTTACTGTTTCTAATTCTGTGCACCCCTGAAGTAGACGCACTGTGGTGAAATGTGTTCTCACAACAGTCATAGTTATTGAGGCACCGCCGCAAACAGGAAAGAGAGGGTCCACGCCCATATGTGACATCATAAGTGTAGATGCCTTACTCAAAAAAAAAAGAAAAAAAAAAAGTGCCCTCTCACCACTTCCACCTCACAAAAATCACAGACAGCAAGTGACCATGCTGCACAAAGACTAACACCACTGAGGGGATATACGGATGAATGTAGGTGGGACAGAGCTCTCTAAGGGGTAAAGGGCCCTTTTTGAGTCGGATGCACTAGATACAGGAATGCGGCCACCGTTTTGAGGCCCCATGCTAGATTGAAAGGTAAGAAAAAACTGTGATGGGGAGTATTGAGGGCAGGAAGGGGATTCTGGGAGTTGTACCTGTGCTGTCTGCCTCGGGGGAGGACAAACTGAAAGAGCTAGTGACTGGCCAATCGCTGGAGGGAGGCAGAGCCTCACCCTGTGAGGAAGTTGGGGTGGAACCTACAATGTGTCCCGAACAAAGCAGGCAAGAATTCAAAGTGGAAATCAGGAAAAAAAAAATACATGTGAAAAAAAAAAAAAAAAAAAAACTGAGTGGTTGCTTTATGTGAATAAAGTAATTTGAAACAAACCAATACTGCAACACACTATACCTTTTATTCAATATATATATTTGATTTTTACTAGAAATGGTAAGATAATGGGATTTGTTCAGGCTTTGTAGCTCCAGTGTCATCTGAAAGTAAGTTCACTGAAAGATCATTTCTTTGAAGAGAAAAGGTGATTGGTCCTCTTACCTCCACTCCTGTCTCTCAGCAGGTAGCGGTTAACATCCTGAATGTTGGTGTTGATGGTGGGTCCACTGGGAACACTCCCTGGGGTCATATTGGGGTCATTCTCAGGGTCAATATTCTGCAGTCCTTTCCAGGGCACTCCTGGACAAAACTCTGAGGGAATTCATACAAATCAGCTCATGACAGATATGACACATTGTCTGATACATATCGTATTTGAAAACACTTAAAAATGTGGGATTATCTTTGCATTTTATAATCTCATCAGCTGAATCAACCTTTATGATTTAATCAATTTTTAGCTCAATATTAACTCACAAACCCCTTACAGTTCCCTCACAAACCCCCAGGGTTTTGAAAACTTAGATCAAATCAATAGCATTTATTAAAATAAATATAGCACAAACAAAAAAAAAGTAAAGTTTGTTCATCTTTAAATGATAAAATAATAGATATTAATAGATGTATTGTCAAACGTTAGTGGATTATGTTAATGTGTTGGACACCCAGACAAAAGTCAGTTGAAAAAATGGCTAATTATTCATGTATTTATTTCATTTCGCAGATGCTACATGATTTGAAATTTGATATTAAGGTTTGATATTTTTTCATCCAGTGTAATGACATTCAGTTATTTTAAGTGTGACCTAAATGTCCAAAAGCATTCAAATATTTTTGAGTCCTTTCAGTGCTTTCATAATACTACATCTAGTCCCAATACAAAGAGATTTTAGAGATGCCAGTCACCTGGAGGCCAGTTGATATTGGTCCCATTGGAGATCTTGTCATTGGTGTTTTTTCCCTGGCCCCAGCTATCATGAGGTGCCAGAGGGCTGGCAGGAGACTCGGAGCTGGGAATCAGATTGTAGGGGCTGTAGGAGTCATCCAGCTGGGGCTTACTAGGGTGACCCAGACTGGGTCCAGCAGAGTGCCCTGCATAAAATAAGTGGTACGGAATATCATCAGTATCATGCCTGAAATTAACCACCATGCCACATATTTACAATATTGATAACTGTAACAAAAGTGCATACCATGCTTGCTGTAGTTGGGCTCCATTGGAGAGGAGTTCCCAGATAGGTTCTCCATGGAGTTAGGGTGTGTCCACTGTGACAGGCGTGACTGAGGCTGAGGAGAGTCCTTAATGGACAGGCCACCCACCTCCATGCAGTTTACATTCATGTTGGGATTTAATCCAGCTATAGAGAAGCATATATGCAAGGATCAGAGGGGGTGAATTTAAAGAGAAAATAAGTTCCCCAAAATCCCTACGACTTTTTGATATCATTTCCAGTAATTTGTTACAGAATAGGAGTTTTTAAAAATCATTGTGATTTGGACCTATTGTCCAAATAATTATTCAGGTCAATCATTGTGAACCGGTGTGACTGACTCATTGAAAAGAATGGATAATAAAAAAAGATGATTTGCTCACAGGTTGAACATCGATATGGCTTGCAAACAAATTGATCTGTACCAAATAGCACAATCTAGCTAATGAACCCTTTTAAAGCAGAGAAAAACTTGAAATATATATTCTCTACAGAAATTCCCATGACGTTTCCAGGACTTTAAAAATCCCATGGCAAATCCAGGTTTTCTAAGACTTTGGGAACCTTGTATAGAAGAACATTTGGATCTCTACTTGCCTAAACACAAAGAAGACAACAGCAAACAGTGTTGGCAACTCACAAATAGGGTAGGGTGAGAAGGAATTTGGAGAAGACTGCGGCTCTTTGGTCTGAAGGTCGGAAACAGAGAGGCTGGAGATCTGGGGATGGGATGGAAATGTGTCCAGAGCTGATTTGCCTGCGCTGGGATGCAGTCCAGGGTGTGAGGGGGGTGGCTGCTGCTGCTGTTGTTTCATCAGCAGAGCCTGAGCCAGCTGCCGCTGGTGCTGCTGGATCTGTTGCTGCATGTTATTGATTGTACGTGCAACCTGAAAGACGACATTGTGAACACAGAACAGGCTGAACTTTAAAGGCGGCTGAGATTTAAAACAGAAACAAACAAACAAAACATTATTGAGAATCATGATGGCACTAGTTGGAAGAGAACTGCTCACTTGCTGCTCTTGCTGTCGGATGGGGCCAGAAACACTGCGCTGTGCCTGCAACATCTGCTGCTGAATTTGTAAACGCTGGTACGCCTGCAAAAGACATTAGAGTGAAATTTAAGATTATATGCTGACAAATAAAAATACATTCTTTAAATTAGATGAAAGTATCAACAAGATATAGGTAGGTAAAAAATAAAAATGTCACTTACCAGTTGCAGCTGATAAAGTTGGTTCAACAGGGTCATATGCTGAGGGTTTATTGGTGAGGTTAAAAGTGCAGGGTTGAGACCAATGTTTTTTGCTGCAAACTGTAAAAGCTGTGCTTGAACCTTTCAGAGAAATAACAATCAGAGTTCAGCATGATTTCATCACTCCGAGTCCTACACAATACTCAAGCGGTGAAAAACTGTGTGTCACCAAATTAAGTCAGTGTAAAGTGCTAAATAGGTGTGGGACAACATATTGATAAGATTGTTGTCCTTCTCAATGTGACACGAGAACCAATACACTGGCACCAAATATTTATATTTTAATTAATAAAATAAGGTGCTCTAAATAGATTTCCCTGCTCCCAGCGTCGCTACTTCATGACTCCTCAAGGTGGCGCTCAACACATGAATGAAGAAAACGTGATGATAGGTGTCCATGAGCAAGACACTGCTCCCGACGAGCTGGATGGCGCCTTGTGTATTAATGAATGTATGAATGGGTGAATGTGAGCCAAAATGTAAAGCGCTTTGGTGGCCATTGGGTCTGTGAAAGCGCTATATAAATACAGTCCATTTACCACTTACCATATCGGTATAGTGAGCCATGTATTGTGTATCGTATCGCGAGGTACCCTTTGATTCCCACCCCTAGTGTGAAACCAATTGTGTCCATGTCTGTGCACACCTGAGGGCTGAGAAACTGAGGCACTTGAGCGCGAAGACTAGGCTGGGACGAGTTGAGAGGTGGCACTGACGGCTGGGGAGGAGGCTGCTGCTGCAGGGCCCGGGCTTGTGCTGCTCCGCTACTACCAAACACTCCACTCTGCATCTACAAAAACGCGCACAAAACTACTCATTCAGAATCTGACTTCATGGGGATATGCTCATAGCTGTTACGCTGCAGGTTTAATGTGGGCATTATACCAATATCTACACAGAAATGTGGACGATGACTAATGCCCTGTTTACACGAAGGGAAGGCGCAGATATTTCCCTCCGGCTTGGCCTCTCAACTACACAAAAACCCTGTTTTAGCACAGAAAACGATTATTTCTACAAACTTTCTGATAACGCCGGTTATGTCAACTGGGAGGTTCTCAAACGTCACATTATGTGCCAGAAAATGCTTAATGTCATGTGAGCGCCCGGGTTTGGCATAGTTTTGATGACGCTCAACGGTGTATTTATGCAAGTCGATGTTGTGTGCACGATGTTATTATTGAAAATAGAGGGGGTTACACATACCCACATTTACACAAACCCGGCTATGTGTAAATGTGGCCTAATATAATGCTGAAAAACAGTGACCCCAAAATGTACTTAAGCCACACTTACGAAATTAATATTTGTTTGTAAGAATGTCACTGTAATATACAAAACTAATCCAGACATAAAACATAAGACAGACAGACTTAGTCTAAAGTAAGTTAAATAGATATAGAAAAACTATAGATATGGTTTAATATCAAAGACAGATATACATATAGACCCACCTGTCTGTTGTTCAAGTTTTGCATTGCAACTCCAAGGCTCTGGCCAGGGAGTGAAGCACTACCCAATGGGAGCTTCAGGCTCGGAGAAGGCATAAACGGTGAGGTTTGGGCATCATCTGCTAGCCCAGCATCCTAAGGAAGAAAAAAACAGAAGTCAAACAATATCCACAACAATGTAAAGTCTTCTAGATGGAATAACCAGAATGTGCTGGTTTTGAATAGTGAGAAGCACAAACCTTGTCCAAGAAGGGGGGACGATCTGAAGAGGATTCTTTGGAGATGACTGAAGGCCTGCAGCCCATTGGTTTATTGACTAGGCCGTTGTTATAGTCAGAGATTGCGATCCCCCGTTTATCTAGTTCAGTCTTCTTCTCCAAAAGGGCGCCTACAACACAACTAATATTTAAATACAATATTCTAGCAAAGAAACTCAGAAGGAACTATATAGGTATAACACCTACTCATGGCCTGATCCAAGTTCATGTTGTTGCTCTTGAGAGCCTCTTCTGCAGGGTCTCTCTGCAAAGGCAAATACAGTAAAAACCCATGTATTATCCATTTGCATTAATAAATATTCATTATTAAAAGGCAATACGATTGTAACTAGACATTTATCATAGCAATATGTAAGGGATAACGTTCAACTAGCCAAGTCAGTATCACAAAATAAACCCCAGGCACAACAGTCAAATATACAGAGGGATATTTACAGAGATAAGCAGCACTTACAGGGAAGCCCATGTCAGTCAGCTGCTTAATGAGACGACTCATTATCCAGGTATCATCCTGTTTGTTTGGGACTTTTCCCTTTAAACAAAACCAGAGATCAATGAGCTCAATCTGCAGCATGTAATGTGACTAATACTTTTTTCATTTATTTTTGTTTTACCTTTGGTAGACTCTTTTTGGGTGGGTTGCCCCAGGAGTTGCAGGAGGAGTTGCTCTCCTGAGATGCAGTGCTGTTCCACATGTCACCTTCATCCTGTTCCCATTGCCCTGCAGACATGCCCATGTCCTCACCACCTCCCCAGCCATCTTGCATAGATTTGGAGGCTGGAGGATGAAAAGACAGACTTTTGGGAGTGTCCATAGTACAGATCAACATTTGCAAATGGTTATGTTTACAATTAAAAGAAACAAACAAATTTGTCCTTGCTGAAATAGCAAAACAATTACAATCCTGCAATGCATTATTTACACCAAAAGGGGGCCCCATTGTTGCACATTTCAAAGCTCTGATAACTAGCATCTGAACAACATCGATTTCCAACACTGTTAATTTGCAACTGGATAACAGCATTTGATATATATATATATATATTGAAATAAATGTAAATGAATAAAACTAACCAGGTTTGCAGGGGGCAGATCCAGGGGGTCCGTTGCCTCGACCATAGACCTCAGGGCCATTATCACCCCACGCACCTTGGGGTTTGCCCCATGCAGAAGTGCCATTGTCCACACTTGCTGCAGGGGCGGCTGGCTCGCCCCATGAGGGCTCAGGTTTTGAATGGACATTTGACATCTCACCCCATCCTGCAGAGAAATATTGTAAACTTCAGAACAAGTGCACCCTAAGTTAAGTTTTCACTGCATATTAAGTAATGTACTAAATGTACTTTAAAGGTTGGTACCATGTAGTACATACAGTGGGGTCCAAAAGATAAATATCTTCTATTTTGCCTTTTTTTCCCTCTAAAAATGATATTACCAGCATAACAATTATATTTAGCATTTTCCCCCTCTACAAAATACATTACCAGCATAACAGGGAGTGCGAAGTTGAATTTAAAAAAAAAATAACACATACATTTAAGAATTTAAAACATATACCGTAATTAAAGCTTTGCTTTATTTAAAAACAAATGGAACTTTGTTAGCTCCACTGTCTTAAAATTGAATAATAAGGTACAATATTAAATGTCTGTTTAGTTCTTGGCACATGGGAGAACTGAGGCTGCCATGTTAAATACAACTTTGGCACAGGGAGTGTAAATCTACACACAAACAGCAGAGGGCGTCGGGTCTGTTCCAAGTATCCTGCTGAGGAATAATGATACTCCCCACAGATGGAGACTCCAACTCTAATTACACACTTCCTCCTGGCTCAAACAATATATTGAACTGCACTCATAGACTGAATGTAAACACTATTCTGTTAACATGAACTTTTTTGTTTCTTGATTTGTATGGCATTATATTCAAAAGTATAGTGATACATTTTAACTAAATTAAAGGTCATTGACAATAAAGGCCAAAGTAAAGAGTCTTGTTTCTTACCTGGATTCATGTGGGTTGTTCTGCTGTGAGGCGGTCCAGTTTGATGTGGGCCAGCATTATCAGGGGAAATGTTATTATTGTTTGAGTTTGGCCCTCCATGGCTGTGAGCCTGCATGGGAGGTTGGTTATGGTGGGGATGATGATGATTATGATGGTTGTTGGGTACATTGTTGGCATTGCCAGGTCCTGGTTTGCCTTGGATACCAGGATTATTCCTGTCCCAAAGATTGACTGTCTTGTTGTAAGTGCTTGGGTCCCCCCAAGCTGAGGTACCGTCATCGATCTCCATCTTACGGCGAATGGAGGGTGGAGAGGGCTCTTCCCATCCAGTGGGGTCTCCAGTATGGTCAGGTTTAGAACCTCCACCATTTCCTCCACTCCATCCAGAGCCGCTCTGCTTTACAGAGCTAGGACCTCCCCAAGAACCCATGCTTCCACTGCCACTATTGCCATTGGTGCCCTCTTGAGGCTTGTTATTCCATCCTTGTGGTGGCACACTGGGGCGTTGTGCATCTCCCCAGTTTCCCCCTACTCCAGGGGCAGGCTTTCCCCATCCTCTGGAGCTCTCGTTCCAGCTGGTAGCCTCTCCCTCCCAGGTAGAGCTGGAGGGACCATTTTTCTTTCCATCTCCAGGTTCACCCCATTCTCCTCCAGACCCACTTTCTCCACCAGGTCCATTGCCCCATCCGTGAGATTGTTTGTGCCCCTCAGCCCAGCCCTGTGGTTTGGCTTTAGAGTGACTGTCTTCCCAGGTAGGAGACTTATCCCCTGAACCCCAAGTCTGACCACTTTTTTGCAGGTTGCCACCTGGGCCTCCGGCTGGGTTACTGCTCCAACTTCCAGGAGCACTGGAAGGTTTCTTGTTGCTGGTTGGATCAGCCCAACCAGAGCTAGCCTGGGGGGATGGCATGGCTGTGGCCCATCCAGATGCAGCTCCAGTACTAGGACAGAGGCCCTCATTCTTGCCTCCAGAGTCAGGTCTGGATGTAGTGCCAGAGTTTGGATTGGCACTGCCAGAAATTGGTGTTGGTCCTCCTTTGACTGCATTTGATGATGAGCACCAGGCTTCAGTTCCAATGTCATTCTTGCGGTTGGAGCGTGCAGCTTCTTCAATCTCCCAAGCTGTGTGCTGTCGCACGGGTGTTTGTCCCCAGCCTGTGTTGCACAGAACCCGAGGGTCCATATCTTGGGCTGGCAGAATAGGGGGAGCCTCATCTCTTGATGAGTGGTCCCTCATGTGAGGATGACATTCCATGCTGTCACTGCTTCCTTCACTAGCTGTAGCATTGGCCCCACGGACCCAAGAATTGAGCTGCTGCTCTTGGGTGGGAGAGCATGAAGAATCCCATCCTTTGGCCTCACTGTTGGAATGCTTACCCCAGTCCCCAGTTGAGGAAGCTTGTCCCCAGCCAGAAGTGCCTGAGACCCCTCCTTGTCCCCAGCTGCTCCCTGAGTCCCAACCAGAGTCTTTTGAGCCACCACCAGATTTGGCATCTCCATTACCCCAAACAGATTCCCCGTCTCCATTGACTTGCGAGGCACCTCCTGGAGTTTGAATAAACGAGCCCATGCCTGCAGGGCCAACGCCCCAGTTAGACAGGCTGTGGCCTGGGCTTCTGGGCTCCTGCTTAGTGTGATTTGGTCCATCAGTGTTAAGGTTCTGAGGTTCAGAGATGAAAGACACATTCGTGGATGGGGTGGAGTGTGGCTCTGAGGAGTCACTGGGCACAATGCTACCCCATGTGGTGCTGCCATTGCCACTGCCACCATTACCTGCAGAATTTCCATTGGCACCACCCATACTGCCACTGCTGCTAGAGCCCTGACTGGGCAAAGTGCCCGGCGGGCTACAGAGATTAGGAGGAGGAGGGTTGCTTCCTCCTGAGCTGCCGCCACCCATGCCGGTCCCTTCATGTCCCAGAACTGGCCAGGCAGAGGGGTTGGCGTTGGGGTTTAAGTTCAAGTTAAAGTTGGAGGAGCCCCAACCCCTGGCTCCTACTGATGTGCTGGAAACTTCATTCTTCCCTTCTCCTCCACTGGCAGGAGAAGGGCCAGAGCCCCAGCCTCTGCTGGCCCCACCCTGACTAGAGAGTAGACCTCCTGAGTGGCTGGCATTGGCTTTGCTGGGGTGATTGGTGGAGAAATGGCCTTGTTGGCCAGCTCCTGTGGCCATGCTCATGCTGCTAATGTCACTGATACTTTCAGTATCCAAAGGGCATCCTGCAGGTGCGTGGCTTTCTTTGCATGAAATGGAAGGCCACGCCTCCGTATCGCGCTCGTCAATAATCAGTGGATCCCAGCCGCTGCAGCTGTTGGTAGAGGCTGTAGTGGCACTGCGACTGAGGGATATATTCTCATACTGGGCTGCCAGGCCACTCTGTGGGGGCAGCTCTACAAAAAGAATTGGAGAGAAAGAAACAAACTATTAAGATACTGTGACTGTAATATATATTCATTTAATTAATTTATGACATTATCACAACAAGGCATTATTTTCTTTATAGACTACATGTTATTACAAAATACATTATATATCTAAAAGAAGTTATCAATACTGCAATTAGATTTTGGAAAATATATATATATATATTTCAAAAAAATATATGAAAACACTTTTTCTATACAAATACAAAGTTCTCATATGATGCATTTTTAAAGTATTTGCATAACAAAAATAAAAAACAAAATTACCATTTACCGCGAGATCTGCTTAGACTGATCAAGACATTTGTTTTTTCCTTTAAGACAAATTGGGTTTTACTTTTATATCAGCATGGTAGCCTTGGTCATAACCTATTAAAAAATATAACAAAAATACACCTTCAAAAATGCAGGTTCACATGTATGTGCTAGCCTGAAGTCATTATGTGTCACCACAAAACCTACCAACCACAACCATCTCCCTCTGCTGGACTGACAGGTTACAACCACAGACTTTGGTTTCAAAGATATTCATTCTAAATCTGATCTGACACATTGAGCTCAACATTGAAACCGTGCAAATGCCCACATATGGATAATAAGATCCGGTTCTATTCATTTGTTGGCAAATTCTGCCCAGCCTCCTGGCCCTCACTCAACTTTGTTGTTGTTTTTGTGTGGCTTTGCATGAGCAGACAGCTCAGTCTGTGTCAGATCTGAGTGAAGCAGCAGCAGCGTTCGTGCACACAAAGCTTTGTGACGCCAATCACGCAAAAAAACCTTTCAACTAAAGATAAAGAAGAGGGAGTGTATAAAAGAGAGGATAGTGCATTTCCAACACAAACGCTGTCCTTCTAAAGAGTCACTGCGTAGTAAAGGACGCCATTTTATCAAATCTGAACTGAAGCCAAAAAAGCTTAGAGCTGCCGTCAACGTCTCGCTACAGAAAGCTTATCAGATGAGCACAGCAAACCTCTGCCCTGCATTAATCTCTAACAAGCAATGCAATAGCTTTAAGGATTTATGTTTTATTTGCAGTTATTTGAATGATACGCTTCTAAATCAAACAGCAGCAGTACAGCAGCGAGCAAAGGAAATGCCTGTTATCAGCGCGTGGAGGATCGTACTATGAGGTTTGGAGGGGGTGGGGTCAAGAGAAGTGGAAAAGTACCTGAAGAGAGATGTCGCCCAACCATCCTGAGAGAAGCGCTAGGCTGCGTGCAGAGCACTGGCCATCCCTGTTACAATATGTCTGCTGCTCGAGAGGCTTCCGAGGCTCATATTTGAAATGCTGCCAAGGAGCTGCAGCTCAGTACACGAGCGACCGCCCCGTTCGTCCCTCACAGCTTCGGCAGGATCCGATCTCTGTTCCCTCACCCAGGCTTTATTTATAACTACCTCTAGTCCTGATTCGGAGAGGAGACTCTCTCGTGAGGGAGGGGAAAGGGGCTGCATGGGAGTTGAAGGTTAAAGCCAAAAGCATTCCGTTGTGCCATTAGGAGGGTGAAAAAAAGAAAAAAAAAAAAAGAAAAAAGAGATTCCTTTTCTTGTGCAACTTTCTCTTCTTTCATGCTTTCAAAGTGTCACAAAACATTTAGCCGAGGCCATTCAGACAGCAATTAGCACCGCTGCTCACAATAGAGCGAGCTGAATAGATACACAAATGCAAGCCAGCCTCAGAGCATAGGCTGCACTGCAAAAACTGCAAACACACTGCTCCCTGTCATAATGGCTAATTTTTAGTATAATATTAAATCATCTTGTAATATTAAAAGTACAGTGGGTGTGCGAAGTTGTAGCTCTGCATACTAGAGGTGCAGTCCAAAGTTTAGAGAAAAACAACACTTCAGTGACTGAATGGGAAACAGGATAAACACACCAAATGAGGCTCACATGTAGGTGGGCAGGTGGCCAAGGGCTAAATGTCTGTGCAGAGTGTGCCCGTGCTTTAATGATGCAAAGGAGATAAAAAGACATCCGGAAAGCATGCTTGCTGGGAGAAAAGAAGGGATGGCTCCAGTACAGGAGAGATAGAAACACAGAAAATGAGACGAACACTTACAAAAGCACACTAGCTCTTGGCATCAAGGAGGGCATTGTTTACAAATGATCCCAGCGCCTCCTATACACAAAACACCAAAGTCTGAAGAGAACAGACTCGTATTATACTCCAACTCAGAGCCAGCTTTTTCTAGCCAAATATGCAATGATGTAATCAAAGCCTCATTATTGATTATTCCCTTTTCTCCAAATGACCCTTTTATGAAAACCCTCCAACAAGTAGATCTAAATGCTAGATTTGATTTAGGTTTTACTACCTAAATAGTTATTGGTTGGTTTTGTTTGTGTCTTTCTGTAGTAACTAATACAGCAAGTACTATCCAGGCAGCACGATGCAGCCGAGGAAGGGGAAAGGAGCGAGTTTACCATCCTCTGTTAGAGACAAACTAATCCACTCAAACACTAGACAAACAGCGGCACATGTGCACACTTTCTAAACTCTAAATAGAATTACCTAAAATTTTAGGATGTAATTTGTTACAATTAGAGGTCAGCCATTGTTGTTTTTCCATTTTGTGAATAATATACAATAAAGAAAAGTCTAACCTTTGCCATTTTTTTCAAAATTGGAAGGAAGATTCAAGTGTATTAGCAATGTTAATTTTAAATTAAACTGAACGCATCAGGAATGTAAATGTGTAATTTACCTAAATATAAATTACCCATTACTATATTCATACCATACTAAAAATGGCATCTTGACTAAAATTAAATGGTCTAGCCATTTTCATTTACTTTTTAAAATATTTCTAAATGGTTTACATTTTTTATTTTAGTTTTAGTTAAGAATTAATACATCAACTTATTTCAGCAAGTTGCCAAAGCATCAATTCTAATTTGTTTGTTAGTTACAATAAATACTCTGGTTTGTAATAACTACACACGTTAAAACACATCTCTCTAGTCTTGAGACCTCTGCATTCGATTCCTTTCCAATGCAATCCATCTCGTTGTTTTAACTAAAAGCAGAACAGCACCAAATGCATCCTTAACATTTGCCCTGTGTTTATATATGCATTCATGTACAAATCAATAGTAGCGGTATATGGGACGAAGAACACAGGGCTTTATTGATATTGCCATTTGTCAGCTGTTGCAAAGATGCATAGTGGGAGAGAGAAGGGCGGGGCCAGCAATGCATATGCAACAACCATCCGTCTAGTTCTACTATACCACACTCCCGCTAATCCACAGCAGGATGTGACATCAGTAATAGGCAGAGACTAGGCGACCACCACCATTGGGCAGCAGGGGGCGACTAAAACAGATGTTAGCAGAATAACACAAGCATGACAATAACAACTCAACCAACTAATCAAGACCAGGCAATAAAATAGTACAGAGCCGAGTATTGGTATAGATTGCTGACAAATCATTTTTTCTGGATCTCAATGTCTGTGTATGTGCATGTGTTCTCTGTAAACCAAAGAAATGGAAAGCTAGCTGTACTTGCTTGAAGCAAACTACTCAACCAGAATATTACTTTTGGGAAGAAGAGAGGCTTCACTCCATTTTACATGGGGAAGCTCTATTTATCATTTCCTAAGCTGGGCCTTCTCATCCCGGTCAACTTCCAGGTCACAACAGTGTTAGTAGGATGCATGCAAGATGTATGGGTGTGACAGGAAAAAAAGACAAAGAGAGAAAGTTTGTATGGCCGGGAGCAGTGCCAGTGCTCAGGTCTGTTTGGTGGTTGGGGGAAGACAACACAGGACTCACTGAGGCAAAAAGGCCCATAATAATTCCTCTGCAACAGCAGGCCTGCAAGTTGTAATTCACTCCACAGTGCAGCCGGCCACACTGTGCAACATAAACCTCAAATCTACATCCAGAAACAAATACACTAGGCCTTAAAGGTGAGTGTAATTTATGTTCCTCTAACAACAACAAACCCTAGTGCTAAATAATGACCCTTGACCCTGGGATTCGGTTTTATTCAGTTGTGCTCTGACAAGCCGTTACCCATTCACACCATTACAAGCTGTATACCGAATCACACTATTACATGCGTGATTGTGTAAATACTCACAGACACATGAAAATGTGCATGAGGACCCACAAAAGTAAAAATGCAGCGACTTGTACAATTTCTGAGGATAGAAGGCAAAGCATTTCTGACCCTTGGGCTGTTTTACATTAGATATCCATGTGACGACTGTAGGAAAGCAAAAGAGACAAGCTAAATGAATACAGCCTCTGTGCTGCTGCTGCTTCTGGCTTAAAGCAGAGCTGTGGGCCATTCGGCTGCATTCCAGCGGCTTCCTGTAAAAACACACACACACAGAGAGAAAGCTGGGAGCTCTTATTACTTGCTAGGCTCCCAATGACCGTTAAGTAACATTCAGCGGAACCACAGCTCAGTGCACGTGTCGACTCAAAACATACCCAAAAGCAAACTCAACAAATAGAGACAGAAGAAAGCAAGGCAAGGAAAGAAATGCAAATGTAGGTAGGTTTTTAAAAACCATCACAATGCATTCTGGGACTGCCATCCAGGCAATGCACATGATCTCTTGAACACAATGGCCAATCAGAGTTGTTTAATTTAGTCCGAATCCACATAAATGCCAGAGCTCTGCATGCTTACGAATTAATTATGCAGTGTAGATATCTATTGATTTTAATGGAACTTTGTAACATCGCCAACAGAGATGAATGACAGCTTTTTAGTGGTTGTAAATGGAGCGGTCTTTATGTGCTTTCGAGGCTATATATAATTAATTGAATAAAAAGTTTTGTTTTTCATGCTGCTAAGAGGACTGATGGCTAAGAACATGCTGCTAAATCTCAGATGTGACATCTATATACAAATGCGGGATTCACTCTCGAAAATGCAATTGACATTGATAACTAGCACAGGAATAAAAAAACATACCATGTCAAAATAGATAAATGCAGGCTAATAGATTAATAGAAAAATATTCATATCAATATATTTTTAATATTCCATTTCAATTGGTTGTGAAAAAAAATAATGAATAATGTAAATAATCTTGAACGTCTCACTGCACATTGTTGTTCTTGTATGGTGGAGCCGTTGCTTACAAATTACATCTGCACTTTACTGGAGAACCCTTACTAATTTCAGATGCATAGTGATTTGAATCTTAATTGTCCATCACACAGCATAATTACAATTTGAAGTTTTAGTGAACTTGAATCGTTTAATTGTCCATTGGACTAGTAAGATTAAAATGCTCTGCAAATCCATTAAAATAATTTACAATAATTGTGACCAAATAATGCTTTTTTTTTAATTGCAACATGTACAGGTATGCTTGTTATGATGCAAAAATCTCAATTTGAACATAAAAAGTGATAAGACAAAGATGCATGTGCAACAACAATAACACACACAGTTTTAATCTACTGTCTTAGCATAATACAACTTGTATATCAGAATATGGTTGGTCTATTAATATCGAAGTCTAAATGCTATATATGTAGGCCTAACTCTGTTTGACATTTTCTATCAGAGTCCCTGCTCCATATCTCTAACTATCGCCAAAGGGGTCCATGCCCTGAAAAGCATTGACGACCCCTGCTTCAGAGCAGAGCCAATCAATACTCTGGCATGAGACATGTATTGGTCGGCACATGGACAGTTCTTCTCTCCTCCCAATCAGAGGAGACTCCCTTAAAATCACGCACATTTACTGTAAGCTGTGAATCACCCCTGCCCACAGAGCTGATCGTCTGCCATTTCTCCTTTCTCCTCTCAAACTCATTCTTTCACTCCGCCACAGCAATCGAGAAGCCACAGAAACAGCTGAAGACTGCCAAGTCCACGTACAAACTACAACACTCTTGGCACACCCACACGCCTCCAAACACAGGAAGTAGCAAAGAACAGCTCAGCATGACTGTTTCTCTCCACCTAACTTTCTTCGCCTGCAAAACAGAGATGGCGAAAAAAACAGCATCCACTACTGCCTACTGCACATGAACACATGAATGAGTTTAAACAACACTATAACAAAAAGACCATGATTAAATGTCAACAGGAGATTTTAACAAGACCCTGTCTGTGTGATGAATAAATTAGTCCATTTTACTGCCCATTGAACCACATCTTTTGTGCCTCATTAGGGGCTGCTCACACATAATGTACTTTTTCATTGCACAGTGCTACTTTAACATTGTTTGTTTACGTAAACATGCGCTACCAAAGCATTTCTGACAGTCATGCTCCACATCTCGCTTCTCTTGCAGTGTCTTGCACAACACGCCATTGTAAAAATGCTGCACTCAAAATAAGTTACACTTAAAAAAAACTCATCTCTTTTCTACTGCACGTGCCTTACATTCATTATGAATGTGAATGGCACCTTAGATTAAAAAATAGCTTGACACAACACGGTGGAATGGAAAAAGAGGCATATTTTTTTTTTTTTAAAATCTAATATTATGCCTGAATATAGTTTCAGATTTCCCAATTTGTCTCAGTTCAAAATCACAATTTCAATTCAATTCCCATTTGATTCTTGGGTATATTGTTGGGTCCATTCATCAATCAATCATTAAAAAAAAAGTTCACTTTTAAAAAAAAACTTTTGCTGATAATTTACTCACCCCATGTCATCCAAGATATCCATGTGATTCTTCAGTCGAAAAGAAATTAAAATGACAAATAAAATTAACAAATCTTTTTTCGTGTCATTTGGTTCATTCAACGAAAGAAATTCGTAAAATGATTCGTTCATTCTGATGAACAAGTTCGAACAGGAGAGTCACGAACGCATATCACAGAACAGAGCAAGGCGACCATTTGAACTTATAAAACGTTTTTTTTTTTTTTAAATGATCGATCGTTTCGCTTGATAAGACCCTTATTCATCGTCTGGAATCGTTTATAGCCCTTAAACTGAACTTGCACTGGACCTTGAACCGTTTGGTTCCCACTGAAGTGCATTATATGGAGAAAATCCTGGAATGTTTTCATCAAAAACCTTAATTTCTTTTTGACTGAAGAAAGAAAGACATGGACATCTTGGATGGCATGGGGGCGAGTAAATTATCAGCAAAAGTTTTTTTTTATAAGTGAACTACTCCTTTAAATCCTGTTTTACCCAGCCCTATTCATTATACCATAAAATTCCCAAAAAAATTCTCTGCCTATTTGTAATTTGTTTTGTCGTCAAGTCTCCATTTATCACCTCGAAGATAGATCATTTATTAAGAACACAGTTTTATATTATAGTTTGTGCTATACTGTATGACCAAGGGTTACCCACAGCCTGTACAAACCAGGGTTCCAAATGACCTCCGCCACAAACATTTTACAAAACGTCAAAAAAAAAAGACACCAACTTTGACCGACACAAAGGCCGTGAGATTTTTCTGGGCTGCACCCTGGTCCCTGACTCAGCATGCTGTCTCGTGTGCATCATGAAGGAGAGGCTGACCTGGGTGGGTCTGGCAGGAGAAGGGTTGAGGTGTAAGGCTGGCGGACACTGGCTGCGCAAGAGCCGTGCTCCCGGCGGGCAGAGGTTGGCCCCGCTTCAGTAGCTGCTTGTGTTCGTGTTGACGGAAACGAGGGGGCACCTCTCTGGGCGGGTAGCGAGGGGCTGCCGGCTGCTGCTGTTGGTTGCTGGAGGGTGCGCGCTTGCCATTGCCACCAATGCTGCTGCTGGCTGAGGGCACGGACGGGTTGATGGCGGTGCTGGGGTTGGTGGGGGGAGGAGGGGTGGGGCTGGGCTTGGCAGAGTCTGGCACTGTGGACACAGAGATGAAAGAGCGAGAGAAAGACAGACAGAGAGAGAGAGAAGGGGGAGAGGGAAGCATAAAGTTAATTTTAGCACATGCCATAACGAAAGCAAACAGGAAGTGTCTTTAGAGGGATGACTATGAGAGGATTCGGGAGGGATGAGCGGGTGCGAGACCATTGAGGATGTCGGTTCGCCTGTCTCTACCGATCACAGACGCAGAAGAGCGCTTGGGGAGGGAGACGAAAAGAAACGAAAGTGCCGTTTATCTTAATACCTCAGTGTTGTGGAGGAGGTAGAAACAGTTACACAATTAGCCATCAGAGAGAATGATCCAGGCAGATCTCCGCCTGAGGCAGAGGCAAAGATGAAGCAGTGGGAGCACAAACATCTGTGTGAATGAGTGCTGGACTTACGTAACGCACTCCTCTCACACATACGGGGGAGATGCATAAACTGTTGGGGGATAAACCGCTGTCTGGAGGAGGAGAAGCTTGGAGGGGAAAAAAAATACCAAAAACTATTTGATAACTCTATTTCGTGGGTTTTAGGGCTTTTATTGATTTTAGGAGCTTCTGAATTTTTAGAGTGACAGAAATATCAAAATTCATTAAAAGATAGGTCTAGAACTCATCTCTCCCTCACAACCTCTGTATAAATACGGTGTTTTCTGTCAGGTAAAAAGTCACTCATTAAAGAAGGTTTGTGGTAATCAGGTGAACTACACTCTCCAGCATCCACTGCTTCTTTCCAATAGGCTGAAAAGAGGCTCACATACACTATAGATTATGCACTGGAGGGGCCCAGTGTGACAGCCTGAATGCTAACATGAAAACATGAATCCTGAGCTAGTGTGAACATGTCCTTTCAATTTCTCCTTTTCTCTCTCCCTCACATGCAAGTCCCTCCCCCAGTCGTGGCCCCTTGCTCTCTTTCATGGCATGTTAGCAACACAGACACTCTCCAGTGGCGCAGTCGCCGTGCTAAGCTGGAATCGGTGACGCCAATCCCCGATTAAGTCCAGCTCAGCCTGCCTGCCAAGAGCTGGCCGACCAATCGAGACAGATTCCTCCACTCCTCTCACATACATGTCTGAGTTGGAACACCGTTACAGCCGATTATGAACGCGTTACAGGAAGCATGCGGACTGCCAAACGCATGGCTAATTTCTCCTGATTATTCTGGGAGTACCTGCACATTCACATTTTTACCCCAGGGCACTGAAACGTCGCTGTAGTTAGGGCCCTTTGATGAAGGGTATTCTAGAAGCTTCTGTGGAAACTGTC